GTGTATGTAAATCCAAGCAAAGAAATTTAATATTTTACAGATTACATTCCTTAGATGTGAGGGTTGCATTAGTTTTCATTTTTCACGGTTTGTTGTTCTTTTATTTTCACCTAATGATCATGCCAGTAATACTCATTCAGTGTATTGTAACTATGGAGGAGCAGTGTTGTCACCCTAGTACTAGATGAGTGTTAGGATAACAGAACACTTTCTCCCTTCTCATCCCTCTATATCAGGTAGGGAGAAGTGTGGAGCTCATAGATTCAAACAAGGAAAGTCTTAGACAGGCCATAAATGATTCATTTTTTGCATTCAACCAGTGGGTTGAATGAATGAAAAAAAATTAAAAGAGCCGATTCCCCCATCCACACATTAAAGGTCCCACTGAGCAATTGTATTCTGCCGGTGGGGAGATTTCCCAGCGAGCAGAATACAATGATTAGTGTTGCTACAGTAGCTATAGTCAGTGGCACTGGTCATTCAGGAAAAACCCAACAGCCTAGTTGTACACAAGCTGATCAATAGATCAATGGACTTGTCTACAATCAACTAGCCCATACATGGATAAAAAATTGTCTGGTCCCTGCTGAACCAGCTGAATTTCCATCCATATATGGCTGGCTTAACACAAGGCAAGATAACATGCATATCAAGCCAAGGCTAATACGAGGTGAGATGACATGCAGAGAGCACTGGACATAGGACTGCATTCGATTCCAGGCAGGATCAACAGGTATTTATGCACTCTTGGAACAGATATAACAAACTGCTTTCCATAAAATTATTCTAAGGCCCCATGTACACAGGACACTTCTGAATGAAGGAAACTGACTGCTGGAAAACGTAGGTTAACAAAAATGTCTGTTTAGCCTCATTTGCATAATGTGTTTAGGTGCATTTGCACCTAGAAGCGTTTTTAAAGATATGAACTTCCCAAATGCCCCTAATGCACTGAAAAGTGGTAAATTAACTATTTCTGATTGTTTCAGAGAAATACATATAGGCACTGGTGGAAATGAGCTTAGGTGTGAGTTGCTCATTAACATTTCTTTTGTTTCCAAGGGAGGGAAGGTGTCTAGTGGAGTAAGTCATTAAGGTCACCTGGTAGGGGGTCTTCATGAGGAATTTGAGGTGTGAATGGTCATTAACATATCTTCTGTTTCCAAGGGTGGGACTGAGGTGTAAATTGGTCATTACAATCTGTGACAAGCTTCATAGGAACATCCTGTGTTCAGTGTTTTGTCCATCCCAGTATCTCGAAAATGCTTTGCATACATTTTTCATGATGAAAAAAAAGCTCTGGACAGCATCGGGAACTGGAAGAGTTAAAACAAAATTTCAGACGCAAACGCTTATAAAAACGATTTGCCGTGTTTTCAAGCGTTTACAAGCGTTTGGCGTTTGAAACGCTGATAAAATCGACTGCTGAACAAGTTTTCTGCGTTCAAAAAAAACGACTGTAAACTCAAATGCCTGTAAACGACTGTAAACAAAGATATGTACATACACACATAGGAAAAAACATTAGGGTGAGTTCATTGGCTACTGAAAAAAAACGCTGAACAGCTCCTGAACATGAGTTTATCAGCTGCAGTGTACATGGAGCCCTAAGTGTTAAATTTGATTGAAAAACATGTTATACTTACCTGCTCTTTGCAATGGTTTTGCACAGAGCAGCCCTGATCCTCTTCTTTTTGGGTCCCCCGCCGGCAGTCCTGGACCCCCTTCCCCCCCCTTTCCCCGTCAAGCGTTATACTTACCTGCTCTTTGCAATGGTTTTGCACAGAGCAGCCCTGATCCTCTTCTTTTTGGGTCCCCCCCGCCGGAAGTCCTGGACCCCCTTCCCCCCCCTTTTCCCCCGTCAATAGCAAGCCTCTTTCTATGGGGAACTCAAGCAGGCTTGCTCTCGAGTCGCGCTCCTGTGAATGGATATTGTCCATTCACAAACAGAGCGTGGCTCGGCCCCACCCCCGCCCCCCACTATCTCCACATTGACTCACTGGCTGTGATTGACTGCTGTGTGAGCCAATGAGGAGAGAGTCCTGGGACAGCTGAGGCTTGCATGCACATCGCTGGATCGATGATGCAGCTCACATGAGTATTAGGGTGGCTGAGGGGGGAGCTGCACCCAGAAGGTTTTTTACCTTCATGCATTCTATGCATGAAGGTAAAAAACCTTCTGCCTTTAGAACCACTTTAACAGACCAAAAGGGAGCAAATAGGAGAAGTTAATTTAGGGCTTTCTAAACAATTTTACTTGGACTGGACTGATATTTATAGATACTAGAGTTTTGTGGATGTTATCTGCACTACTGCAAATTCTCTGGTAATTTTATTTGTACGATACCCTAACCAAACTTTTTTTTGTTTAGAGTAAAGTAGCGAATGATTAGAATCTATGTTCAAATTTTTTCTGAGTGAGTTCCAAAAATGAATTAAAATGTTACTAAAAACCCACAACAGCAAAATCAGTCTGTATATGCAGTAAAGCATGCTTGGGAGCTCACAGTAAAACTTAAGAGGTTAATCCTCCACATTGTGTAAAAAGGCTGTTTGATACTGTCTTATCAGAGCCTCCCCTTTTTTTACTGTCTCCAATCTATCTGCCATAGTACAAAGCAGCAGTGGCAAGTCTGCATGTGCTCTGTTTGGTGTTTAGTGCTAGAGTTTTTTTGAGAGGTATGTATTGCTAGAGAGGTTTTTTTTTTTGGAGGGGTGCATGTGATCAGCACGGGGCCAATCAGCACTGTCAGGGGGGTCAGGGGTCATACAACCTCATAGGACAGTCAGAGAAGAATGAAAACTCTGTCAAGATTAACCAGTACTTGGCCAGACACTGAAAGAAGTCACAAGACTGCTATATACTGTTGATGAGAAACGGTATTTAGCAGTTTATATTTACTAAAATAATTGCATTTCCATGTTCTGCGTACTGTGGAAGACTGGATAAAGAGAATGCAGGGTCATGAATTTAGGAACACTTTAAACCTTTTTTTCCAAAGAAAAACAAGAAACCTTTTTCTGTAACGGCTCAGAAAGTATTTGCTGGAGTTAGACTTTAATTTGTCTTTTACATTAATTTGTTCATTACAATAAAACTGTGCATTCATCTAAGACTACTGTGTTAGAGTACAAAAATAATGGCAATAAACACACCCAAACACCACAAAAAAAAAGACAGGTAATCTCAACACATACTGCTCTCTCAGCTTCTGCTCTCTCTATTTCTCTCAAAATGTCTAAAATAGTTAATTTTGTACTGTTTCTGGGCATTTTGGAAGGTCTCCTGAGGCTATCTTTAAAAAATGCTTCTAAACACAAACGCGCACATAAACGCTGTATGCAAACGCTGCTAAACAGACTTTTTTTAACCTACGTTTTCCAGCGGTCAGTTTCCATTGTTCAATAGTGTCCTGTGTACATGGAGCCTTACACTTTAACAAACTGTTTAAAAAAAAAGGACATGCTGTATAAAAAAAAACAACCATTTTTTGTCTCTCTTGCTGGTGAGACCTTTGTGCTTGAAGTGTACCTGTGCCCAGACATATACAAAATCCCTGACCTCTCTAGTTGCATGTACTGTGACATCGTTCATTTTCAAAGATCCTTAATGATAACAACAAACACTCTAAAGTCCGGTTTATCCCCCTTGCTGCCCTGCAGGCCCTCTCTGATTTGACAGGGCAGCAAGCAGGCTAGTACCTGAATTACCTATTGGGCCACTGCCCACGTTTGCTTGTCCAGAGCAGAAACACCCTTATATGGAAAAATTTTTAAAAAGATTAAAATAAAAAATAAAAACTGTAAACCAGTAAAAAATGGTAAAACATACTTAAACAGTGTTGGCAAGTGGGAAAATGTTAATGAAAGGACATGCTCAGCCTATAAACTTGAGGAAGGGGTTTTCACTAGTTCTTTACCATGTATGATTTAGTAGTATACTTTTCTCTACATATAAACCCCAACTCCCCAAGGCTTCTCCTCATGCACTCAAAAAAAATTATAAAATATAAATGCCTATGAAAATAAAATAGAATGATTAATAACAATATGTAAACAAAAGAAACTGTGGCAGGGAAACTTTAGCAGGTTAGGAAATTTCCACTACTAAATTATATGAGAGAGGCTGCAGCTCAAAAACATGGACAAAGTGTGGCTCAGTTTGCCAGACCCTAGTGTAGCTGCAATGTCCAGCCATGAACAATATTTTTGGCTTTTGTCTAAAACAGTGGTTCTCAACCTTCCTAATGCCGTGACCCTTTAATACAGTTCCTCATGTTGTGGTGACCCCCAACCATAAAATTATTTACCCAATAATTATAATTCATGAGTGTCGTTTTACCTCCAATACTGCTGCTTTCAACACAGTAGCTGCTTTTAACAGAGTAGCTGCTTTCAACACAGCAGCTGCTTTCTACACAGTAGCTGCTCTTTACACATCGGAAATATGTGTTTTCTGATGGTCTTAGGGGACCCCTGTGAAAGGGTCGTTCGACCCCCAAAGGGGTCGCGACCCACAGGTTGAGAACCACTGGTCTAAAAGACCCTGATGTCTCAATAAAGAGAACATGTCATGCCAAATTAATATCAAATATGGGACTTTTGGTCTCCTATGTGATAAAAAAAATAATGTTTACTGTAAAAACAATGCAATTAAAGCTACCCTCAAGCACTTAAACCCCTTTGCAAAAAAAAATAAAATAAAATTTGAGCCCCCCCCATCTTTATACACACACATATGGCCATAAACACGGATGCGGCGGGCGCCACATGCTGGACTGAGAGCAATTGTTTTAGGCCCCTTATTTACTGTTCACTTTAAACTAATGACCTGTATGGGCCTTTAAGCATCGCCTGTGGAAAGTTAAGGGTACCAAAATTTGTTATCATTTCACAGGTGCATGCAATTTTAAGGCTTGCCATCTTTTTCTTTGGCGCAACTTACCGTATTTTTCGCTCCATAAGACGCACTTTTTTTCCCCCCCAAAAAAGGGGGGAAAATGTCAGTGCGTCTTATGGAGTCAATATAGAGCGGCCGGTCCGGTATTTCCACCACCGCCGTGCAGAATGCCGGGCCGGCCGCTCAGCTCTGCAGCGGGACCTTAAGGAGATGACTGCTGACCTTTGGGGAGGTGGGGAGCGGGTACCTGAATTGGACAGGTGCCCGCTCTTACTTCTTTGTTCTTTGACCTTACCTGTTCCTCTATCCAGCGGCGCGCTGTCTTCCCGGCTTCTGTAGTGTGGGCACTGGGCATGACAGCCGGGTGCCAAGTGCGCATGCGCAAGAAGCGGTGCTTTTTGTGAATGGTAAGGCGGTACCTGGGACACATGACCGATCCCAGAAGCCGCTGGACCAATCACAAAGCGCAAGTGCTTCTTGCTCATGCGCACTGGGCACCCGGCTGTCATGCCGAGCGCCATTACAGAAGCCGGGAAGACAGCGCGCGGCTGGATCGAGGAACAGGTAAGATGAAAGAACAACTCCACGGAAGTGGGAGCGGGTACCTGTCAAATTCAGGTACCCGCTCCCCACCTCCCCAAAGGTCAGCAGTCATCTGTGCTGTCCGCAGTCTCTGGTCATCCCTGTGCTGTCCGCAGTCTCTGGTCATCCCTGTGCTGTCCGCAGTCTCTGGTCATCTCTGTGCTGTCCGCAGTCTCTGGTCATCCCTGTGCTGTCCACAGTCTCTGGTCATCCCTGTGCTGTCCGCAGTCTCTTGTCATCTCCTGTACTATGTCCGCAGTCTCTGGTCATCCCTGTACTGTCCGCAGTCTCTGGTCATCTCCTGTACTGTCCGCAGTCTCTGGTCATCCCTGTGCTGTCCGCAGACTCTGGTCATCCCTGTGCTGTCCGCAGTCTCTGGTCATCTCTGTGCTGTCCGCAGTCTCTGGTCATCTGTGTGCTGTCTGCAGTCTCTGGTCATCTCCTGTACTATGTCCGCAGTCTCTGGTCATCCCTGTGCTGTCCGCAGTCTCTGGTCATCCCTGTATGTGTCTGCAGTCCATTAGTTCAGAATTTTTTTTTTCCTGTTTTCTGCCTCTAAAACCTAGGTGCGTCTTATGGTCAGGTGCGTCTTATGGAGCGAAAAATACGGTAATCTTTTTATTTTTTTATAACAAAATGGGTAAAATATTGCATTTTTGTACTTTATAAATAACTTTATTGCATTTTTTAACTGACATTTTAGTCTTTAAACCCTCTGCTTTCATAAGATATTATTATTATTATAATAATACAGTATTTATATAGCGCCAACAGTTTACGCAGCACTTTAAACATAAGGACAGACAGTGTAGTTACAATACATTTTAAAACAGAAGGGATCAGAGGGCCCTGATATTTAATGTTTTTGGGGATTTAAGAAATCCTTAAGCCTAAAATTATTTTTTAAAACGTATGCAAAAAACGCAAAAACATATCTGGAAGTGACAGTGTTAAAGGACTGGAGTTTTTTCCTTGTAACCCTTGAAGTCATATTTTTTTTTACTTTCGTAAATGTCCCCTATGTCAGTGACCATCTCCCTGTGCCACTTTTTGAAAAAGCTTGCATATTAGCCATGAAAAATGCTGGAATTTATTATCAAGATTTACCCCGTAGACTTTCGAGTGGTTTGCTGTCAAGTTCGGATTTTGCAAATATCACGCAGGATTCAATTAACTTCCCGCAAATCAAAACCATGCAGATTCACTCATCCTTACTAATAATATATGAATACTTTTTAGAATACTTGATGGTTTACTTATCATCCAACAATTTATGTTGTTTTTAGTGTGTTTTATATTTAAATGTTTTCAGTCTGAGCAATCCAGTATGTGCCTAGACCTAGATGCCCAAGTCTGCATGACGGCGGCTTGTGATAAGGGTTTGGAAATAAATATGTTATACATACAAAAAATATAATACAGTATATACCAGTGTTAAAAATATAAAAAGACTGAAGTTTTAATAAGTTACTCATACACATTTTCCCTTGCTAGTAGGGGGTAACAGGATAAGTGGGAGTTTTGTTTTTAACCCTCTCTAGAAAGGCCACTAAATTGGCATTTGGCCTCATAATATCAATGAATACGAGGTGGTATCAAAAAGTTTTGAGACTAGTTTTGTAACACGCCAACAGATGGCAGCACAAGGCTGCACGCACAGTCACAGGGAGCACCCACCTTTATAAGTCAGTGTGACAAAAGACATTGTCCTGTGTACATGAAGAGCTGTGCAACTGTTGCAATTCTGACCACTTACATTACCACGTCTGCTATTTTATCATGGACAGCAATATATAACAAAGAGCAAATGTGAAATTTTGTGTGAAACTGGGCAAATCTGCCACAGAGACATTTGACATGATTCTGCAAGTTTACAGCGGTGCTGCAATGAGTCGTTCAAGGTGTTTTGAGTGCTACACATTCTTCAAGAGAGGAAGAACTGGAAGACAATGAGAGAGCAGGAAATAGCGTCAACGAGCTCAACCCCCAAGTTAGAACAAAGAGTAAGCGTGAAATTTTGCATGAAACTGGGCAAATCGCTGGATCTCCACAATGTTGTCAAAACAGCTAGATCTTCATCTTGGGGATGACATTCCAGATTTCTCATCGTCTTCCAGTTCTTCCGCTCTTGAAGCATGCGTAGCACTCAAATCACTTTGAACGACTCATTGCAGCATCACCGTAAACTTGCAAAATCATGTCAAATGTCTCTGTGGCAGATTCGCCCAGTTTCACACAGAATTTCACATTGCTCTTTGTTCTAACTTTCTGTCCATGAAGAAATAGCAGACGTGGTAACACGGTCAGAATAGCACCAGTTGCACAGCTCCTGATGTACACATGATGTCTTTTGGCACACTGACTTATCAAGGTAGGTGCTCCCTGTGACTGTACATGCAGCCTTCTGCTGCCATCTGTTGGTGTGTTACAAACCTAACTTGAAACTTTTTGATACCACCTCGTATATATGCCTGGAGTTCAGGTTTGGGTGTCAGGATATCATAGCTATAAAGAGCTTTCCTGTTAAACAGTTAAAATAAAAAAATGATATTTTTTATCAGATAGTTTATTAGGAAAAAAATGGTCCTGTATTTCAATTTTTGGAAATATGCATGTACTTGGCAAATAGAATATACTGTGTATATGTGGGTTTTTCCATGTTTACAAGAAATGTGAAAGTGATGTATATAGACAAAACACATTGTAGTTGTTAGGATGGACATTCAAAACATAGAGCTTGGTCCAGCTGCACAGCTGGTATCTCAAAATCCAGAAAGTCCATTCTTTTTTTAGGGGCCGCTGCAGCTGCTAAAATCCTACACTGCTGTTCTTGTTTCTTAATACAGCACAATGCTCAATTATCTAAGCCAATATTCACGTAAATATATTACAAAAAACATTGTCCACCTGGTTACAAATAACAATTTTCCCCTGTAAAGCCTGCTGAGATCCTGAGGGATTCTCTTTGGGTGCACAAATTTTTGATGTGTCTATTATGACATAAACCAATATTTTCATAACATTTTCTTTTCCCTTGACTTCTGCGAATGGAGAACCCAAGAAGCTAGAAACAATTGCTTTTCTTATAGGGGAGTTTATTCAGCAATGAATGAAGACCTCACACAGAATTCTGTTGCCAGCTGTTTTGCACATTACAGAAAAAAAAAAGTGTTGCATGCATTTAAGGTTAACCAACCAAATTATTATTGGCATGTAAAATACTTCAGGGTTTAAATAAAATTAGAAATCATGATTCACACTTAAAGTGCCCCGCCATTAAAATATATGAACTCATTCTGACATGAAGTCACCTAGTATAATAACCCGTTTTTCAGCACCTTGGTTACCAAGAGTATACTGTATATACATGTGATCATGCCATAGAGCGGCCTTTCTCAACCTTTTTAACATAGAGGAACCCTTGAAATAAATTTCTGGTTTCAGGAAACTAAAGTTACTTTATCTACAACTCATGATACATTAATGTGACAGTCAGTGGGGAGAATGCTTCTTACAGTTGTGGTCATTGGGAAGAATGATCCCCTTGCAGATAGTTAAAAAGATCAATGGTGTCAGTGGGCACCTATCTGAGAGGCAGAAATTGCTAATTGCTTCAGATACCCCTGGAAACCCTGGAGAAACCTTAGGGTTCCTCAGAACCCTGGTTGAGAAACCCTGCTATAGAGTATGGCCATTCTGTAGTAATACTATCAATAGACATAGGACAGTTTCCACATTTGGTATTTTTTGACTGAGCAGCATTCGTATGTCTGTGGTACCAGCAATCATCTTCCATCTAACTGCTCACAGGTAGAAATATTAACTGCTTTCCCACCTCCCTATAGCAGAAATACTGCAACAGGGCAGCAGCGATGTGCAAAATCACATATATATATATATATATATGTATATATATATATATATATATGTATATGTAAGGCCATTCATGGCGCTGCCCCAGGCTACCTCACAGACCTGATACCCACATACCACCCTACCCGTAATCTTCGCTCCTCGCAAGACCTCCTACTCTCTAGCTCCCTGGTCTCCACCTCCCCCACCCAACTTCAGGACTTCTCCAGAGCTTCCCCCATCCTCTGGAACTCACTTCCCCAATCCATCAGATTGTCCCCTACCCTCCTCACCTTTAGGCACACCCTGAAAACCCATCTCTTCAGGGAAGCCAACCCCACCCTCACCTAACAGCCGATCCCCTCCACTCCTCACTCCATTCCATCCCCCACAGCCATCTCCTCCTGTACCACCATCCCCTCCCTCCTAGACTGTAAGCTCGAAAGGGCAGGGCCCTCTAACTCTCGTGTATTGTGTATTATTTTTTGCTACTGTATTGTCTCATGTCTTGTCCCCCATTCTAATGTACAGCGCTGAGTAAACCCTTTGGCGCTATATAAATACTCTATACTAATAATAATATAAATATATAGATATGCAATTTTGCATATCCAGGTTGGGGGCTTGCCATGTGTGCGCCCTACCCACACTGCTGTTTGCGGCCACGGATGTCAATCACCAGGTCCCAGCCGGTGATTATTCGCTGGCACCTGGTGATTGCCGTGTATTACCGACGGGGGGTAAGAACTGTATGTAAACAATACAGTTCTCTCCCCTGTCTTCAGCACACTGATTTGTATGGCTCTGCATAGCAGAGCCATACAAAGCAGTGTGCTTACAGTTGAACGCACAGACACAGCTTACTGTGAAACAGCACACAGTTAACCCTTTGTTCGCCCCACATGTTAACCCCTTCCTGCCCAGTGCCATTAGTACAGTGTCAGTGCTTTTTATTAGCACTGATCACTGTATTGCTATCACTGGGAATGCCAGTGACACCAAGTCAGTTCCCCCCTGTGTCCAAATGCCTGCCACAGTCCCGCTATAAGTTGTTGATCGCCACCATTATTAGAAATAAAAAAAATAAAAAAATTGCAGTATCTATACCGCCATTTGTAAACGCTATAACTTTCACATAAAC